GTGACGACCCTCCCGCTATAAAATGGCTTAGCCATTCATTTTAATTTTTTTAATCAGTTTACTAGAAAATACTCATGAATCTTTGCTTCATTTCACAATTTCCTATTTTCTCTAATATTATGAACGCTATATTTTATTAATCACAGTCCTTCTTTGGATAGAGCATGGACGTATTAGAGTACGTCCATGGATAGAGGTACTGCGTTTGAATGTTACATTTCTTTGAACATGCTCCCACTACTGCATGCGCACAGAACGGTCACCGTGCTGTATTGCAGTGGCTCAGAGAGTTATTTTGGAGGTTGTTTGTAGCATGGAGCTCCACCGAGTGCAGACAGCTGTCTTGGCAGTGAATGACTTGGATTTCTTTCCCTTAGCAACGATATATTTTTCCCACATTGAGAGCTATCAGCGATATAGTCGCCGCTCCATGCAGTTTTTTGACATAGGACGACTCATAGCGGCGTACACTGCGCATCATTGTAAAATACATTGTTTGTTTACATGAAATTCGAACATGCGCTGCGCGACGATCACCACCATTCAAATGGGACCCCATAATTATAATAGATTCTTTAGCAAGACATGAAAAGACACCGGTCCTACGAAAAAAGAACAATGGAACAATTATGCTATGGCTTGAACAATCTAATCCATGAACAGAGTGTACACGTATTACTTTAGAAAGTCGTCGAAAACCAGATGATCCAATAGTTTTCGGATAATGAGTAAAGATTGATAACTTTTGACAATGACAATTATTCGTAAATTGCGTTTTCATTAAAGACCTTCGCAAAGCGTCAGAGTAATGGATTTGACTATTCAAACTCGAGATGCTAGCCAGGTGACTGCTACAAAAAGTACTCTGTACAAGCTCAGACTAACATTATTAGTTTGGGGTAAAAGTAAATGCGGAACGTCTGCCTATTACAGATAAAATGGTAGTCTTATGGAGCTATTACCTTCATGCTGTAATTTTGTCAATTGCGTTTCGTGCATTGAGTAGATAATACAACCCGATAAAACAAATGAAGAGAAAACAGCAAATGATGGAGTCTCCAGTACTTGATATTTTATAGAGGGGGGGGGGTAGCAAGGGGAGAAATAAATAAAATGAAAGTTCCAAGTGCAGTAATAAATAGGTTTTTACACTTTAAAGATAAAGCAATTTCCTAATTACATTTTTATATTATATTTGATAATTTGTGTTAGAGTTAAAATCGAAAATTGCGTAGTATCACGAAATGATTTAATGTGGAAAATGCTTTATACGCTTACGAACAATAAGAATTGTGTACAAATTACGGACGAATTAAATAGCGAATTACATTTTGCATCCTGCCTATAATTACGAATTTAAGTTTTTTATTTATTTTAATTACATTCTTACAAAAAAAAAAAAGAATCAAATGATTACAGCTTACGAAAATACCCTTTGCCGACCCTCTTTATAATACAATGTACACAACATTTTAATTGAGTTCTGACGTGGGAATTCCAGATTTTTTATAAAAAAAGCGAAACAGATATGCGAACACGTTAGAGAATACAATGATTGGAACTTTCATGTTGCAAGGTACATAATGATTTTGTATGCATATATATCTTCTAAAAGGATACTAGTGATCGTCCGAGTCAGCAACCGGCCGGTTTGTCCATTTTATCAATATTATCATGTCTACATCGATTAATCTGGCGAGACATTGTTAAAAATACAAATACGAATCCATTTTCACAGCACACGTAAACATGTACAATCTGTCAAATTATTTATGAATAGATAAATGTGTTAATCATTAACCATGTGTTAGTAGGAGAAATCAGTACCTATTAGAAATCAATTAGTCTGTCGAGGTCATTAGAACGCCCTCTGGTGTCATAAAATGACATTAACCACTTCAAATTTTAAGAGTGTCCGAGGAATGGCGATGCATTGCATGATTTGCTTGATGCATACATTAGTGAGATGTTTTTCGTAATAATCAGGAATAATAATTTAACATCTGGAAATAAATTGCATAAAATATATGTAATTCCTCACAAAAAAGTAATATTCAAACCAGTGGGTTGATGGCGCTGCTCAAGATATACCAAAACAGGAGTAATCATGCGCGTACAAAACGTGTTTTTATGCGCGTTACCACGTAAAATGTGCATGCTGTTGCCTAGGACAACCATATCAGATAGAGCCCATAAACCCTTTGTTTTCTCTTCCAATGCATGGAACTATATGTTTTGTATCAACAATAATACCATGGAATATGAAGTTTGGTTGATAGATTCAGAAATGACGTCATAGTCGAATTGTCAATTAATATATGTCGATAAACATTGCAACCTCTTATCTAAATAAAATAATTATGCTCACTATTTAGTATTTGCAGTTAAAAATATAAGCCACAATAGTCTATGCACATAATTATTCTATCTGGATATTAGTTTTCATTTCACCTAGGCTCCCACAAATGATAATGCAATGACCAGTCATGGAATGGTGTTTTCATATCCCAGGCATCTAGTGATGGAATAATCAAATGACCAATCACCGGGTGGTGTGCTTTCTTTTCATAAGCATCTAGTGATAGGATAATTAAATGACAAATCACAGGGTGGTGTGCTTTCATTTCATAAGCATCTAGTGATAGGATAGTTAAATGACCAATCGCCGGGTGGTGCGATTTCTTTTTATAA